CTTGAGGGCACAGTTCTGATAAAGGCTGACTTGGGAAGGGAATGTCTTTATCTGTACACAGAGAAAATTAAACAGAGAGTGAAATACCACTCTACTAAGTGGAAAAAGCCCCCCTGTGACAGTTAACACTCCTATTACAGGGCAGCAGGTGGGAGTACACACCCTCATTTTAGGATTAACTTCACCTACTGAACACCACTGACACCATCTATTGTGAATTGAGTCTGACATTTCTGATGTTATGTATGAAGTCATCTACAGACATTTCACACAATACATTATGCATTTTATGCAAAGCTTATCTTAGTTACAATTAAGTAATTGACCAAATCAGACAGAATACTAGTTGCAAAGGTAGAAATGCTAGACAGCAGTCAAGTGCCTTATGAGTGCCCTCTTCACATTCCATCAACCCAAAAGACAGTCCCAGGAGATCCTCACTCACCATGATGCTGGCCATGTCCTTAATGAACTGGGTGACATTCAGCTCCTTGTCCTGGCTTAAGCTCTCTTCCAGAAATGCTGAGATAACTTGGAAGCCCATCAGTGGAACAGAGGCCATCAGAGCTGTCCTGCAGGCCTAGAAAAAACCAGACCATTTAAAACCCAGGTTAATCTTCACACAGGAGAAAAAACTATAGACAGAATAAGATAGGTACTTCACCAAAAAGATAAGCTTGCACTCAAATATTTTTGTACAACAATGATAGTACCTGTAAGAAGTATTTGGATTTCTAAACTTGCTAGAAAACAATGAAGGTAATGATTTTTTTCTTCCTCAACTTTAAAAGACCCCTCGTAAAAGACTTGGTGAAAATAGCTGTTAGGTTTTGTCATGAATCGTGGGACAAAAAGGCCAATTAGTGTGAGGCCCAAATTCTTGTGAATCACTGCAGCTGGGTGATTTGAAAATTGGTAAATGTTACATTCACAGAAACAACTTTTTAAGATTTGCACTCTTTAAGCCATCATGAGCTTTTTGAAACATGGCTCATATCCCAAACTGCTCAAAAAAGCCATTTGGTTCGGTTATGATTCACAAATGTGGGATGTAGGCACCAACCCGATGAAATAAATGTCTGACTGTGATTTTAATTTACTCATTGCTAGTATATGGTCTGTACAGCTAAAGCCTACTGTTAAATTATTCTTCAAACAATTCACTTAAAATGTAGTGACATCATTCAACTATTCTGACAATTACCTCATGGTATTATTAGAAAAAAAGTGTACAGTATATTTCAAAATTATTTACATAGAGTAGTACTGAAGTATTACTAATTACCAATTAGTAATATTACAATTACAACCAACTGTTGTATTACTTAACTGCAATTGGTACTTGATAAGTTATCTAATATTCTGCTTTGGTAAAGTCAGAAAATGTATGTAAGAGTCTTACGTAATCATTTTTCTAGGCAAATGATTAACATTTTATTTAAAAACAAATCTGATATGAGGGAAAAAATTCA